GTGGGGCTCGGCAGCTCCCGCCGCGGGGCCGGGGCGGTGCCGGGGCCGTGCTCGGGTCCGGGCGGCGCGGGCAGAGCGCGGCCCGCGGTGCGGACCCGCCCCCGGGGAGGCCGGGAGCTCGTCACGGGTGTCGGCCGCTCGTAGGGACTCATCTCCGGTGTCTGTGCGTTTACAGGAAATAAACGGGCTCTGATGCGGGCAACGCGATGAAATTCGGGTGCCTTTCCTTCCGACAGCCCTACGCGGGGTTGCTTCTGAACCACATCAAAACAGTGGAGACTCGCTGGCGTCCCTTGCTAGCAGGCTACAAGAACTGCACCATTGCTATTCATATCGCTGTTAAGGACTGGGAAGATGAATCATGGAGAGACATTCTTTTGAATAGGTTCGGTATGACACCAAAACAAGTGCAAGATTTGTTGGATGAAGGAGAAAAATTCGGCAGAGGAGTTATTGCAGGTAAGCAACCTGCAATAGGTTTTATTTTCCAAGTTATTGCAGGTATTCCAGTTATTTCAGGTAAGCAACCTGAGGTTTTATTTTCCAAGCAAGCTTTCAGTTTGTTAACATTCGAATACACATGTGCTTCGCGTGGTTGTGCTCATTATGACATTTTTTTAGCACTGTGAAGGAGTGGAGCCTGAATTGTGATGGGGGACTGAGTTCCTGTAGGCTGAGTACAGCAAGGGAAGTTGTCAGTAAAACTTGTACTATTTCATCGTGTTAGAAATGTGAGGTATTTTTGACCTTTAGGTTGAAAAATTTTAGTCAGGCCTCTGTCTTCTAAAAACATTCTACTTAAAACTTCAGGCTACAAATTCTGTACAAGAAATAAATGGATTTGTGCTAACTCATCACAGAAAGATAACATAGGTTGCACATTATTTTGTTTCAAGATAATAAATGTCAATTCCACACTTTTTGCATTTTGAGCTGAGGAACTCTGGCAGTACTTATGGTCAAGTGAAGTCATGCCATTGCAGTGCTTTACATGTCATTTTAGAATATTACATAAGTAATTACATAAATCCTATTTCAGTTTTACTGAAACACAGTATTTGGGCAGTGAAGAAGTTTGTTTCTGTAACAGTCAGGATGGAGAGATGTTTCATTGTGTACAATGTGCTGACATACAGTGGATGTTGCTGCCCTGTCCACTTACAAAGTTTTTATCCAGCAGTCATTTTGCACTGTTTCTGTGCAGGTATATTTGTTAAACCATCTGTCTTTCATTGTCATTTGAATAGTTGTAGCTATTCCAGCACAACAGATTACTTCTATCACACTGAAAAATTGTTGTGGTTCTTTGGTGCTGAAAACTGTAGGTCCTACATTATATGCAGATTTGGAGCCTTGGCATAAATTGCACAGTCAGTTACAGAATAGGTATCAAAGCTTCTTTGATCTTTATTTAACATTTTTAATCACTAAGCAATATAGAAATTCCCTTTTGTGACACAAAAAGGTTTCCAGACAGCAGGAATTTCCGTATAGTTTAATGATTTTAAAATGTTAATAGAATAGTGTCCTGAGAGGGGCAGAGAGGTTTTTTTATGCTTTAATGAATCTGTTTCAAGGCCAAATGTAGCTCAGGAGTTTTGGTAGCAGGTGTATCTCCTTAGATGCAGGCTGCTTTTCACAGAATTCTCTATCACTGAGTTGTGGTGATTATAACTAGGTGCTTCTTCTGTTCTTCACCCATCTGAGGTCAGTCACCTGGGGCATCTTCTGCAGCAAAAGGCACAGGCTGGAGGTATGAATCTCTCTGACTGTGTGCCTCTGGTAACAATGTGGTTGTTCTGTGTGTCCTCAGGAGGGTAACTTCTGGAAAACTTTTCTCTTGGAGATCAAACAGGCAACTAATTTTGTATTTTTATTTTACAATACAGGATTAATTGACGTTGGAGAAACATCACTCTATCCAGAAAACCTGCCTCCTGAAGAGATTCTGGAGCTGGAAAACAAAGCTGTCCTCAGTAATCTGGAACAGAAATACTTGACTGTTGTTTCAAATCCAAGATGGCTCCTGGAACCAATTCCTGCCAGAGGGAGAACAGGTGTGTGGCAGGTGGACATCCCTGAAGAACTGATCCCTTCAGAAGTGTAGGTGTTGCCCCTTACTACTGTTTTTCCTGCCCCCCCAAAAAATTGTAATTCACAAGTCAGCATCTTGTTTAGGATTCCCTTCCAAAACTGGGCAAATACATTTGAAAAACTGCTCTTTTAAGGCAAAACAAGCAAGATGTGATTTTTATGATTATTACTTGAAATTATTAATGTTTTTTTCTAGATTTTTCCTATATATAGGAAGCTAAGTAAATGCCATTTTTTAAACACATCATTTTGTATTGTGTGCCAATTTAAAATGTGAGTAAATAAAACCGTATTGTATGATGCTTCCATCTCTGATTATAGGAAAATAGTGCTTGAAAGCAGGCTGCCATCATTAATAGGGTATCTGTCTCACAGCTCACTCCTAATCCTACTTTAAGGATAGATTGTTTTCACTCACAGGGAAGTACACAAGATACCCATATGAAGGATACAGCTCTGTGACCTGACAGAAGTTGTAAGAAGGCCATTATGAGAAAGAAGGTGCTTGTTAAAAATGAAATGAAGCAAGTATTACATTTCTTTCTCTCATTTAAGATGAAAAATACCAGTAATCTTTCAAAAACATACAAACTGATCTAAAAACCCAACCACCACTGTCAGCCACTTTAGCATGGAATGATATGATGCTAACACGTACCTTCTCAGCCACAAGAAAACTGCACATTGGGTACAGAAAGACTCATAGCAAATTTAAAAAAATCCCATTGAGAATATCTTTTCATTTTATGTGTTTAAAGTACTTGGAAATAACCAATGTATATTCTGTCAGCATTTCTGTTACTCAGAAATGGTACCTCAGGAGTAGAGAAACAAGTGACAGAAAGTTTACTGCCATGCTCATCTCCCATGTGGTAAAGGCTCATTTCATTGGAACAGCAATCTGTCCCATCAGAATATTCTGAGTTAGTTTGCACACAGAGGACCCAGTGTACCTCCCTAGATGTTCCTCCTGCTGTCAAGTCATTGCACCACCATTCCTTTGAACTATTCTTCATGAATCACTACACACTTTCCCTTGTCACCCCATCAAAGGGACTCAAACCAATCGCTCTCAACACCGTCCCAGAGCTGCTTTGGAAAGCTGAGGAATGTGGAGGCATTGCTTTGGCTAGAGCTCTCCTCAGGTGAATTCAGATGCTCTCTTCTTGACCAGTGTTGCTCAGTTGGTTTGTAGAGACTTTCCTTCTTTTGGAGATCCAGAGTCTCTAGCTGTTCTTTTGTCACATGCTGGATGAAGTCAAGCTTGACTCAAATCCATTGGCCAGAACAGAATCACATGAAGTTTCCGATGGGGAAAGCTCCATTTTAAATTATTTTTTCTTGGTTTGAGCCAATTTCTGAGTTGAAGCCATTTACCTTAGCAGCCAGATGGCTCTGCAGACAGCCAGCTGAAAAGAAGTGACCAGCTTGACTGAGAATCCCGAGGGAAAGTTCTCAGTCATCACTAGGACACCCATGCTGTGCTGCTGGGACATCAGAGCAGCATCCAGTGTCCCAGTGACATGAAACAGCAGCAGCAAATGTTAAATACCACTTGTTGGTCTTCATTTACAGATTTTTTTTTTACTCGAGCCACGAAACAAATAAAACTGCAACAAAATATAAGGTATGGGATAGGACAGTGCTGGGCTGGGTTTCAGCCAGTAGCTGCTCCACAGGGAGGAACAGGGAGCTCTGCAGCATCAAGAATGGAAGCACCACATCCAAGTTTTCCAGGTGTGCACTTTGCACACATGCAGAAATGTCCATACACTGCCTTCTCTTATTGCCATGCTAACACTAAGGAAACATAACCTATGGTATTTAAACTACCAAAACTGGAGGTTACTTAAACACAGAGAGCAGCTGCAAGGATCTGGGAATACCAGACATCCGTTTTTGTGAGCTACAGGACTATAGATTTCATAGACTCAGTTTCTCCAAAGTACCTGTAAGTCCAAGACACTGTCAAAGCAGGTCTTTCTTCAGACAAGAAAATGCTATAGCAACACCAATGAGTTCCTGTCTTGAAAAGTTTAATCATTTACACCAACCAACACAAAGTTGGTAACAAAGACCAAGCTACGATATTTATACCTAACCAACAGCTGTGAGACCTACAACAAACTGCACAGACTGCACACAATGCCATGGGGAACAGCTTATTAAACAGCCAGTCTAGTGGGAGAATGGTGTACATGCTGCCCAGGAAGTATCAAAATGTGAAACTGGTAAAACAACAAAAGCAACATGTGACTCCCAAGACAGTGCAAAAGTTGAAATACTTACATGAAAATTTACATGACTAACTCAAAAGCATCATGTAAGTTGCCATATACTCTACTTCTCCCCCCCAAAAAAAGCTTTCCAGTGTTGTGTGAGAAGAGCAACACTCTTGTGCCTCTGTGGTTGAGACAATGATTGTGGCTGAACAGAAAAAGTAGTAAAGAGGTACTATGCTAAGGCATCCCCAAAGCATTTAAAAGAGACACAAAAATCAAGTGTATATTTAGGACCTAAAAGACACCTGGAATAGCATAGGCATTTCATACAGGGTTTTTAAAAAAATACTTTTAGATAATACTTATACTGTACACAACAAGACTTTTAAACAATATATTACACTGCTAAAAATGTTCATATAAATACTATACAGGCAAGCGTGCAACCAACCCGTGAGGAAGGTTCACAAATTAGACAACCACAATCCTCTGGAAAAGCTCTCAGATTATCTTCGAGATCTCTGATTTGGGTAATCCAAGCCACTGATTCAGCAATACCTATTTTAAAGGAATTTGGACAAGGCATGAGATGAAATACATTTGTCTGCTGATGACCAGTTCAAGTTTAATATGCTACTGTCATCTTAATCTGGCATATCAATGTTTAACTTGGGAGGTGGAATCACATATTTTCCAGGACTCTGTGTAATGACCACTCCAGTCTTTTTTCGAAACATTGGTGCAATTTTTGGCGGTTCAGGCAGTGGTGTTTCTTCTGTCTCCTCATTATCTTCATGATGAAGATCGTAAGAAATATTTCCATATTCTCGTAAGAATGGGAAAATTTCAAGTAGGAACTGGCAAAAGTCTTTGCGAATTCCAAACCACCCTAAAGAAAAAGGGAAAATTATTTCATGTTACTGCAGAACAGAATGAACACATAATTCAGCAGGCAGACTGTGCAATCTCATTTAAGTTCTCTTGATTGTTTGCATGTGAATAATACAAAATTTGTTAGTGCTGCTTCTCAGTGTTTCTTACCCCTACAGTTCAGGTTCCATACAGAGATATACATCCAGAATAGGGACATGGATTTGCACCCACGTGCCTGTGTGTATATCCATCTCTGTAAATTACAATTATACTACCACAGCAAGAATCCATTTCATTTTACACATTACACAGTGTCAGGTCACATCAGTACAGAGAAAGAACACAAAGGACTTTGCATCTCAACCAAAGCAAGCAGTGCCACATGGGATGACACTGTAAGCACAGAAAACTTACTGCAGTCACCTGAAAACAACAGTCTAACAACTGTGTCTGTGTGAATTATTTCATGAGAATATACATAGAAAAGCCCTTTTTCAAAATACAAATCTTAATAAAATATATCTAAGCATTGATTTTCGATCTGTTTCCAGGATTTTGAAAATACTTACAGTGATTTCCTCCTTTTTGTCCAAATGTTGTTGCCATTAATGTTATCAGTGAAAGCCAGAGAGGAACAAATATGGGTATGAAGGAAAAAGAATTATGCCCATCCAGTCTGTGTACTAGCAAGATCTAAATGGAAAAAAAATATAGTGTCAGTTTAATTGCAATACTCACTTTCAAACTGCTTAAAGCATAGGCTGATTTCAGATCTTTAACTTCACACATCTGTGGGGGGAAAAATGGTCTCCACAGAAGCATGTAGTTACAGTTCCAATGCAATGCAGATTTTACTCAAAAAAACTCTGAAGAACACATTTGCTGTTAATATTTTATTCCAAAACAAAAAAGCAGCATTCTCATTTCAGTAAGTTAATAAACCCAGTATTCATCACTCCCTGAAAAAAGGAGCAAGACACAAACTCATTATGGTTTTCCAACCTCAAATGTGAGCAGTGGAACCACAATTGTCATCCAGCTGACAGCCATCGTGATGTGTGTCCTCCTCTGCTCAGCAATCACATCCATAGAGCGCAGGAACAGAACAGACCACACAATGTAATAGAGCACTACCAGGCACAGGAAGGACATCAAGATCCACAGTGGAACACAAACAACCTGAGGGAGAGAGAGATTTGATTTGTTTCAGGTGTGGTTCTTTTAAATGAAGCAAGTCTACCTCTTAAGTCTAAACAAGAAAAAGAAATTTAAGTCTTTAACTAATATAATCTCTAACAGGAGAGCATCAATTCAAGCACGCTGTTATGAGCCATATCAGCTCTCTGAGATTCTCCAGCTTTTTTAAACCCCATGAAGATGAAACAATTTAAAATTAGCTCAATGTAGTTCAACTTCAGTAAGACATCTGTGATTTTACGTGGGCTCAAACTGTACTTGAAATTGATTTTAGCAAATATTTCCTACAGTGGATTCCTATTTGGAAGGGTTTCAATCCTTTCTCAAAATTTTAGGAAAAGAGAAAGGACAGACATAACCACACCAGATTGTCAGTTTTATGGCAGTTTACAAAAATCCAGACACAGAAACGGCACTTTTGTATCCTAAAGGCATTTGGGACAGGACATCTCAGCAGTTTACAGTGACACAGTAAATGGACTTACACGCATGGTGACACAAAAAATAAAAGTAGTTATTTACCACAGCGTATTTACCAACACATTCTCTAACTCACCAATCATTTTCATGGCTAGTTTACTGTTCCCATTGGAAACTTTGGTTAGGATTTCTCTTTCAACTACTGCTCAGGGACTAACTGCAGTTGGTGGCACATTCCTCTCCCTCAGAGGGTGAAATGCCCAAAGAACAGCCTCCAATTACCACTGAATGAAATGCCAGACCTTTAGTGAAGGATTGCTAAGCAAGCAAA